AATGTGTGATGATGGATCTAACTGTCAGTTGTAGACAGAAGCCTGGTTACTGTTTATAAGTAATTCTGTGGGTCTAGTATTACAGTTAACCTACAATAATGTGTTAGTTCACAGTATATGGTAATGTGTGATGATGGATCTAACTGTCAGTTGTAGACAGAAGCCTGGTTACTGTTTATAAGTAATTCTGTGGGTCTAGTATTACAGTTAACCTACAATAATGTGTTAGTTCACAGTATACGGTAATGTGTGATGATGGATCTAACTGTCAGTTGTAGACAGAAACCTGGTTACTGTTTATAAGTAATTCTGTGGGTCTAGTATTACAGTTAACCTACAAGAATATGTTAGTTCACAGTATATGGTAATGTGTGATGATGGATCTAACTGTCAGTTGTAGACAGAAGCCTGGTTACTGTTTATAAGTAATTCTGTGGGTTTTGCTTAGAAATACCAAATGATAAATCTATAAGTATTAACAGCCACGTTGTGTACTTTTAAACATTGGCTCTTGTCATCAGAACTAAATAGTTATTTACATGTTTTCTATAAAACTAAAAATTAAAAGTTGTTTGCACCTAACCTATATAGCCTCTGCAACTGATCTGACTTACTAAAACTTACCCCCCCCCCTTTTTTTTTTTAAGGATTGTGGATTGTTGCTCTCGTCGGAAGCTGAAGGTCGTGGTTGTTATCCTCTGGATGATCATATTTTATGCCGGACCTGCAATGCTAAACGTGTTCAGGCCTTAACTTCTCGAATGACAACAGAACTGTAGACTGCTCGTGAGAGACACATGTTTATTTCTGTGGCTAAACTGGTAGTTTTGTAGTTTTTTTATAGCTTGTTTCTCTGTACCTGTTAGCAGTGTTGCTCAGGTCTCATGCTTGAGTTTGTCAGTTGCCATAATCATGAGTATATTAAATGGTTCCTAAGTTGAAAAGTGGATATATTTTTATAACGAATTTTGTGACTTGGAGAATAAGAAAAACAAATTATAGTGAAGTTTTGGAGCTGTTTGTAGGTTATGAAAGCATGAGAGCTTATTATTAATTTTGTGTAGAAAGTTTATCTTGTATCATATTCTTTGAGAGGCTTAACTTCAATAATCCAGCACCTTCAGATAATGCTGTGTTATGTGTAACAGGTATTACAATAACCGGCACCTTCAGATAATGCTGTGTTGTGTGTTAACAGGTATTACAATAATTTGGCAACTTCAGATAATGCTGTGTTGTGTGTTAACAGGTATTACAATAATTTGGCAACTTCAGATAATGCTGTGTTGTGTGTTAACAGGTATTACAATAATTTGGCAACTTCAGATAATGCTGTGTTGTGTGTTAACAGGTATTACAATAATTTGGCAACTTCAGATAATGCTGTGTTGTGTGTTAACAGGTATTACAATAATTTGGCAACTTCAGATAGTGCTGTGTTATGTGTTAACAGGTATTACAATAACCCGCAACTTCAATAATGCTGTGTTGTGTGTTAACAGGTATTACAATAACCCAGCACCTTCCCAATAATGCTGTGTTGTGTTAACCCAGCACGTTCAGAAAATGCTGTCATGTGTTAACCCAGCACATTTTTTAATAGTACATTATGCACTACATGTTTTTATTTTTATACAACGGCAGTATAACTGAAGAAATAGACAATTTTGTATGTTTTATTATATTCATTGTCAATTTATTCTGATGAAAAACAAAAATACCAGACAGTATTTAATTAGGATCTATTTAGTAGAAGGTATGTTAACTTTAAAGTATATTTCACCACTCAAACTATCGTATTGTGAATAAGTAGTGGGAAGTATTTTACCAAACATTTTAACATCTGAAAGGACATATTTATTTCGTTGTCAATGAAGTATTATTATTATTATCAATACTGTTGATAACTTTGTAATAATGTAGCAAACACTAATACTGTTGATGATAATAATAATAATAATACTTCATTGACAACGAAATAAATATGTCCTTTCAGATGTTAAAATTTAGTTAAATTCCCCAACTTTGTAATAATGTAGCAAACACTAATATGTCCTTTCAGATGTTAAAATTTAGTTAAATTCACCATTTCGTTGTCAATGAAGTATTATTATCATCAACAGTATTAGTGTTTGATACATTATTACAAAGTCGGTGAATTTAACTAAATTTTAACATCTGAAAGGACATATTCATTTCGTTGTCAATGAAGTATTGTTATCATCAACAGTATTAGTGTGTGCTACATTATTACAAAGTTGGTGAATTTAACTAAATTTAAAGTTACACTCTAATTAGATTGTAATCATACAATATGGGAACATTTGAAGCTGTAAGATATAAAATAGAACATTCTAATGTATAGGATACTTTTAAAAAGCCATATACTTCATTGTTGGCACAGTAAACCAAGTTATATTTTAAAGGTTTGTTGAAATGTAAAGAATTTAAACTGTAGAAAGTGACTTGCTTTTAAAAAATTAACTTCAGTTATTAAGTACACTGTTCTGTTGTACATTTAAAGGTTAATATGTTAACAGATATTGTCTAGAACAGTTTCTCAGCCGGATTTGCTAGACGACCCCCGTGTTTGGACTTTGTTCTTCGTGACTTCCCATTATTTGTACAAGGATGAAAAAATTATTGATGTTTCTTGGTGCAGTTTATCATAGTTCATAATAAAGGTGATATGTGCACCTCGAGGACTAAAAAAAAGTGTTGGCTCAGCACAGACAGCTCGTAACTCCCCCTGGAAACCTGCTTGAGACCCCTAATGGGGTTGCGACTCACAGTTTTTGAAACACTGGTCTTGAATATCCTGCTTTGACAAATTCACGTTAGACAGAAAATGGCTTTTTAAAATGCTGAATATCAAAGTTGTGAGGACATATATTTATAAATTTAAATGACAAATTTAATGCTGTATTTTTAAGCATTGCTGCCCTAAATTACTATCACAGTGTAACATCTCAGTGTTAACAGTTAACACTATACAAAATAAGTGAAATACCAAACAAATACAGAATATATGAATTAAACTGTAAAAATACTCAAGCTTTAAATATTCATAACATAACAGGCATGTATGTAACTTTGTCAGAAGTATAATACGATAAGTGAAATATTTGACGTAAATTTAATTGTCTTAAATTGTTTCTAATGTTCACAAGAAATTTTCACACATGAAAACTTTTGAATCAAGAATTAATCTTACTGATGACTACTGTAACATGAAACAAGAAGTTCTAAGATAGAAACACTTGTAAGCATGGATATTTCTCTGTACACCTTTCAGTAAAACTAGCAGAAATATTTTTTATGGTGATTTTAAAGAAACACGTGTATAATAATGTGTTGCCCCCAAGAGTCCCATATTAACTGATTTTATGATCATAGAAACACGTGTTATGATCATAGAAAATAATGTGTTGCCCTCAAGAGTCCCATATTAACTGATTTTATGATCATAGAAACACGTGTTATGATCATAGAAAATAATGTGTTGCCCTCTTTCTATGATCATAAAATCAGTTAATATGGGACTCTTGAGGGCAACACATTATTATACACGTGTTTCTATGATCATAAAATCAGTTAATATAGGACTCTTGAGGGCAACACATTATTTTCTATGATCATAACACGTGTTTCTATGATCATAAAATCAGTTAATATGGGACTCTTCACGTGTTATGATCATAGAAAATAATGTGTTGCCCTCAAGAGTCCTATATTAACTGATTTTATGATCATACTTTGAAGAGGAGCTTATTTTTGAAATTATATGTTGAATCGATTTGCAGTAACACAAATGTATGCTTTACAGCTGTTCTGTGATTAAGTTATTTTTGTTTCTATTAAATAGTTAATAACAGCAGGTACTATATTCAATTTTAAATTAGTTTGTATGCCACAAGCATTTAGCATTTTGTTGCTTAAACTTATTGTGAAGAGTAAATAAACTCTGTACGTTCTAAAGTTTTAAGTGCCAATGTATAAGTATATCTAAATAAAATTGTGTTTTGGTATTGTGTTTTTTTGTCTTTCACAACCTCTAGAAGTAATTCCTAAAGATTTTAATGTATTCCATACTTCAGAGAATTACTTTCAAGGTAAAACGGTGCACACGGATTTTAAAAACACTAATAATACTAGGATATCTGATGTTCACAACAACTTAGGATTCGAGGACTGAGTAGAAACGGTCTGAAGTTGAAATGAAACATTTCTGGAGGAAGTGGCAGATTACTATTTTACAAAGACACTGATATTTTGGTGGATGTCTTTCCCTTGATATCCTTAGAACAGGAACATCCAATACAAATTTGTTGTCCTTGTCACTAGATAAACTTGGAAAGGCTGAGCTGCATTAGTGTGAGTTGTGATCAACTGAAGTTGATTCTGTCATATAACTCCACTGGGTGCATTAATACAATTCGGGAGTAGCTGCTGTTGTCCCTTTCCTCACCCAGACATAGTTGTCCATTTCATAAGTGTGTTGCTGTACTATATGAATTTCTTCAGGATTTTTACTTATTTCTGAAGGATGTCTCTGTTGCAGGAAGAGTTTGAATAACTGAATCTATGTAATTCTTTTTTTCAATGCTATGAATCACTTTCTCTATCTTTCTGTTGGTGTGTATGACAGTGTTTGGTTGTTGCTTCATTCTTGCTGCGTTCTTCGAAACTAATAGAACATTTGGTTATGATCTGTTTCTATATTGAATTTCCTTCAATTAGAGGCAACTGCTTTCTAGTGATTTCGTCTTCTATTTTAGAGAACCACTCCGAGCCTTCAAGATGACACATAAGCTGATACAATTGTTTTACTGTATCACATACAAGTGAACTAAAGTTTTTGTTTGTTTTATTAAAGGAAAGAAAAACTAGTAGCCAAAAGTTTGACATATTTTACTTGGAACTTACCATTCTACTCCTAAACTCTACCTTCAGGATGTTTAACATCAGCGGGAATAAAATATCGGTGGCTAAGTAACCATTATATAGACTAAAATAACAGTAGCTGAGTAACTGTATATAGACTAAAATAACAGTAGCTGAGTAACTGTATATAGACTAAAATAACAGTAGCTGAGTAACTGTATATAGACTAAAATAACAGTAGCTGAGTAACTGTATATAGACTAAAATAACAGCAGCTGAGTAACTGTATATAGACTAAAATAACAGCGGCTAAGTAACCGTATATAGACTAAAATAACAGCGGCTAAGAGTAACCGTATATAGACTAAAATAACAGCGGCTAAGTAACTGTATATAGACTAAAATAACAGCGGCTAAGTAACCATTATATAGACTAAAATAACAGTAGCTGAGTAACCATTATATAGACTGAAATAACAGTAGCTAAGTAACCGTCTATAGACTAAAATAACAGTAGTTAAGTAACCGTATATAGACTGAAATAACAGTAGCTAAGTAACCGTCTATAGACTAAAATAACAGTAGTTAAGTAACCGTATATAGACTAAAATAACAGTAGCTAAGTAACCGTATATAGACTAAAATAACAGTGGCTAAGTAACCGTATATAGACTAAAATAACAGTGGCTAAGTA